GGGACTAGATTTATAAACTGGAAAATCAGTTCAACAGAGAATATAGCCCCCAGTACATCGACCTTAAAATTTTGTAACTCATGTACACGCCTAACTTCCTGAGCGGCTTCATAACACCAAGTCGGACAATATATTTCATGTCTCCACCCTGGGCGATGGGACATTGCTGCGCTAGCTCTTCGTGAAGTTGTCGTTCTGACGTCCCTAAGGAAGTTGATACATGTACGTGTAGTTTCAATGCCAATCGACTGTTTTTTACATTACATTAACGATATCACATTTGTCGGACAAAAACCATGTGGCTTTGGGGAAGGTCCGACACCCCCAACATGTCGCTGTGGCGTCCCTAAGGAAGTTGATACATGTACGTGTAGTTTTAATACCAATCGACAGTTTTTTACATTACATTAACGATATCACATTTGTCGGACAAGAAATTTGAGACAATCAATGAAAAAATTGAAATTCGTTTGCCTTAACGCAACGTGCATATTAGTCAGTTCATTATTTACCTACTTTGTCAAATACCTGTGGAGCCCTGTGTCATATTCCCTGATCTGTTTTTTTGATAGTTCTCCGAGTATTTGCGGAAATTATTTAGTGAACGGTCATTCAAAACCACGCGTGTGAGAAAGATATTCAGTCGTGTTTTTTGTGCAATCTCAGGAGTGAAGATCCTGAATTTCGGCAGAAATTGATCAAAAGGACTTTTGTTGTCCGACTGACTTTAATACTCATTTTATTTGTCCGACATTTACTACACATGTTTTAAAATTACATTGTTATTCATAATTATTTTTGTCGGACATACATGTATGAACTTCCTTAGGGACGCCACAGCGACATGTTGGGGGCGTCGGACTCCCCCAAAGCCACGTGTTTTTTTGTCCGACCTATGTGATATCAATAATGTAACATAGAGAATAGTCGATTGGCATCAAAACCACACGTACATGTATCAACTTCCTTAGGGACGTCACAGCGACATGTTGAGGGCGTCGGACCTTCCCCAAAGCCACATGGTTTTTGTCCGACAAATGTGATATCGTTAATGTAATATAAAAAAAAGTCGATTGGCATTGAAACTACTCGTACATGTATCAACTTCCTTAGGGACGTCAGAACGACAACTTCACGAAGAGCTATATTGTCCGACTTGGTGTTATGAAGCTGCTCAGAAAGTTTGGCGTGTACATGAGTTACAAAATTTTAGGGTCGATGTACTGGGGACTAATAGTATATTGTGTATTTAGGTGGAAAAGTGACACATTCTCAGCCGACGGTGTAAGTTGACAGGCAAGGCGTAGCCGAGGCCGGCAAACACCGAAGGCCGAGAATGTGCTTTTCCACCGAAATACACATACAATTTTTTCTGCGATCGGTTCAATACCTGTTAAATGTTTGTCTTTAAGTTCCAATTATTCAGCAGTACGAGAATCACTTTCCCGGCCTAGGCCGGAATAGTATATTACATACCGAGGTGGAAAGTGTTTCATTACTGTCGAGAGATTAGTTAGTTAACTGAGACGCGAAGCGTCGAAGTTAACTATAATCTCGAGACAGGAATGAAACTTCCTACCGAGGTTTGTATACTATTTTATTTACAACAATTACAACCCTCACAATTTCGACTAAATACTAAAAAAAATTTTAAAAATTTGTTGACAAGTTCTGACTCATCTAAAAAAACGTTTGACATGCAGGACTCGTCTTAAACATTTTAAAAAATGAGAACTTACTTTCCACCCGGGTGGAAAGTGAGCCCTTTCCACCCGGGACCACTTTCCACCCGGGTGGAAAGTAAAATTCAAAAAAGTGTCACTTTCAAACTTTTGAAAAGTCAGAAATGTCAACATTACGTATGTGGTTGTAAATAATAGTATATTACATACCGAGGTGGAAAGTGTTTAATTACTGTCGAGAGATTTAAGTTAGACCGAGGCGCAGCCGAGGTCTAACTGAAATCTCGAGACAGTAATGAAACTTTTCACCGAGGTATGTATACTATTTTATTTACAATCATTCGAATTTTGAAATTTTCATTTGGATTAAAACTAAAAAATAAAATAATTAACAATTTCATTTACTTTCGGCCCACGGGTCGAAAGTAAACTTTCGACCCGTGGGCCAAAAGTAAAAGTCAAAAAAGTGACATTTTCGAAATTTTTGAAAGTCAGTAAAGTCAACATTACATGTATGATTGTAAATAAATAGTATATTACATACCGAGGTGGAAAGTGTTTCATTACTGTTGAGAGATTTAAGTTAGACCGAGGCGCAGCCGAGGTCTAACTATAATCTCGAGACAGTAATGAAACTTTTCACCGAGGTATGTATACTATTTTATTTACAATCATACGAATTTTGAAATTTTCATTTGGATTAAAGCTGAAAAATACAATAAGTAACAATTTCATTTACTTTCCGCCCACGGGTCGAAAGTTTACTTTCGACCCGTGGGCCGAAAGTAAAAGTCAAAAAATACAATAAATTTTAAAAATTTCATTTACTTTCGGCCCACGGGTCGAAAGTAAAAGTCAAAAAAGTGACATTTTCGAACTTTTTAAAAGTCAGTAAAGTCAACATTACATGTATGATTGTAAATAAAACTTTTATTTACAATGAATTTGCTTTTCAATCGTGGGCCGAAAGTAAATGAAATTGTTAATTATTTTATTTTTTAGTTTTAATCCAAATGAAAATTTCAAAATTCGAATGATTGTAAATAAAATAGTATACATGAAAAATGCAGGAATAGTATATTACATACCGAGGTGGAAAGTGTTTCATTACTGTCGAGAGATTTAAGTTAGACCGAGGCGCAGCCGAGGTCTAACTGAAATCTCGAGACAGTAATGAAACTTTTCACTGAGGTATGTATACTATTTTATTTACAATCATTCGAATTTTGAAATTTTCATTTGGATTAAAACTAAAAAATAAAATAATTAACAATTTCATTTACTTTCGGCCCACGGGTCGAAAGTTTACTTTCGACCCGTGGGCCGAAAGTAAAAGTCAAAAAATACAATAAATTTTAAAAATTTCATTCACTTTCGACCCACGGGTCGAAAGTAAAAGTCAAAAAAGTGACATTTTCGAACTTTTTAAAAGTCAGTAAAGTCAACATTACATGTATGATTGTAAATAAAAACTTTTCCTGCATTGTTATCCATTGATTCCTTAGCAACTATTGAAACATAATTGAGATACCAGAATAATGAGTTTTGCGACCTGTCAACCGGTCAAAAATTCTGACATTTCTTGTCAATCACAGAAAAAAGGGATTTTCAATAATGAAATAATAATAAATAGTTCTGACTATTTCTCTAGCGTGTTTTACACTGGCATAGGAACGGCCGGTTTCCTACTGACAAAACTCCTACCTGGACAAAACCAACATGATGGTTTTTCAGCGACAAAATTTTGTGTGATTAATGTGAAAAATTATTGAGTTTGACAAGTGTCACCTAAAGAAAATAAATTTTCCAAATGAAAATTTGGCTTGTTTCTCTCGTGAAATAGTCCAGCCGAATACCACTCAAGAAAAAATTATGAAGGCAAAATTATTCTCTTGGTTTTATTTAAGTTTGTTGCTTTTTGGTAATTTCGCGAATAGCATTTTTGACAAAACCACAAGCCGTCAGGCGAGTGGTTTTGTCAAAAATTTCATGAGCATAAAGCAACAAACTTTCATACCAGTTGAAAATTTTGCCAACACATTTTTTTCTCTTGTGGTATTATACAGTGTCCGCGGAAAAATCTGCACCATATGGGAAATTTTTTTATGCTCATCCTTACTTCAAATCGGTTTTTGGCATTGGTTCTGCATGACTGAAAACCAAACAAACACAAACACATCAAATTTTTGACTCGAGACTTGCCTCACACCTGTCAAATGCCATTTGAAAATTTCAAACAAGGAAAAGTGGCATTTTTATAAAAAACTAGCTGACCCGGCGAACTTCGTACCGCCTCTGAATTATTAAATGCCTATTAAATGTTGTATTAACGTATCTATTTGCTGAATTAAATTCATTTTTTTTCGATGTTGAATTTGGCTTTGGTTGAAGAAAATTATTGTTTACTCTCTGGATCAGATTTGTCACCTAAAATTAAAATTTTACATCATCCTTTTTTTTTCAGCGTTGACAGTACCAGCATGTCAATAATTTAATTAAATTAAGTTTACAAAAAATGTGCTAAATGAAGAACCGCTTGACCGATTTTGTGCAAACTTCACATAAACCATCTACTAAATAGTCCGAACAAAGCCTAAACATTTGGTTTCGCTAGGTGAGCCCGTTCTTGAGTTATAAAATTACAACGAAAAGTGGCATTCATTTTTATATATATAGGTAGATATGAAAAAATTTTATAAGAAAATATTGTTCCAAATGATATTTAGAGTCTAATTTGATATTTTTGCTTTGAAAAAAATATATTTCAAAGCATACAATTTTTAAAATAGTCCAGAGGCATATCAAGATTTTAATAGAAATATTTCTTTTTGATGTTTAAACTCTTAATTAGAATATTAGGATTTGAAAAACCATTAGTCAGATACAAACTTATTATTTTAGAGGAATGGTCGTGACAGAAATCCTAAAAATATTATTTTTCCGTAGATATTCGAAAAAAAAAATTAAAAAAATAAATATTTTTTTTCAAAGCAAAAATATCAAATTAGACTCTAAATGTCATTTGGAACAATATTTTTTTATAAAATTTTTTCATATTTTTCATAAAAATGCCACTTTTCCTTGTTTGAAATTTTCAAATGGCATTTGACAGGTGTGAGGCAAGTCTTGAGTCAAAAATTTTAGGTGTTTTTTTGGTTTTCAGTCATGCAGAACTTAATGCCAAAAATCGATTTGAAGTAAGGATGAGCATAAAAAAAATTCCCACATGGTGCAGACTTTTCCGCGGGCACTGTATATGAGAAAAAATGAACAGATATGATTTAAGAATGAATTTGCTTTTCAATATTGAATTCTCACCTGCATATTGGTATGCACCTGTGACAATTTTACAGTCTCTCTACACTTGCCATCTGTAATGTCCCAAGTGCACATTTCTCCAGCCTCAGAGCTAGAGACAATGTAATTATTATCCTGAACTATCGAAGCTTTTGAAATACACAGAATTGGAGCTGTGTGTCCTACTAGGAGGCAACGTGGTGTCATTTCTAGGGTGTCTGGATCCACTTGCCTGAAAATGAATCAACAGTCAAAAAAATAATATTAATCAAAAATGTTGCATACCAAAGGCATATTTGTCCATCGTAACATCCTGTAGCCAATGTTTTTTGATCTTTGGATAAGTAAATGCAGGATATACAGTGAGTAGGAGCAAATTTTCCCCACAGTACTACTGGCACCACTAAACTTGTCCCTGGCATTTTGGCCTACTTCCTGGATAAATTGTTTGTATTACATTTTAAATTAATTAGCTAATAAAAGTTTCAGGACTAGCGAAATACCAAGTGTAGTATAACTAATGAGTCTGTTTCTTATCGAGTTTTTTATGCTTTGCTAAATTTCAACAAACAAAATAAGCAATAAGGAGAGAATTTTATGGTTAAGGTGAATGCATAAACCTCGGCACAAACAATGCTTGTCTCTGTTTCTTTAAAACCATTAATTTCAGGCTCCAAATAGTTCAAGGCTTTATCATTTGAAAAAATGTGTAATCTAACCACTTGTTACAAAAACCCAACATTCTTCTCACATTAACAAAAAATCTACACGCGCCAAAAGTAAACAAATACAATTTTTCTGATATGATACTTCTATTTTAAAATAGGCTTAAAATCATGATAATATCAACAATAGTCGGAATTACTCAATTAACAATTCAGTTATTTTACTCAATTACTTAGCTAGTCCATCGAGGCGTCAAGATGTAACAAAATATGCGCCGCAAAATTAATTGAACTCAATCAACATAAATTTAATTTATGTTTGGTGAACTGGAAGCTGGAAGCACACAAATGCATTGAGAGTACTTAAAGGTCACATGACACTGTTGTGTGATTTAACATTGAACAAAGTTCTAGCCCACTTTTTTATTATATCGAATATTTAAATTAATAGAATGAGCGACAAATGAGTTAAACAGGATTAAGTGGATTAAACTAGTGTAAAAATTAAGAAATACCCAAACACTGACGTTTTTATAAGGGGGGTGTTGTTGGGAGGTTTTTAAGGCAGCTTTGCCCGGTTTTTCTGGGAGCACCTAATTTTTAACGTTTACACATAACTGTACCTTGTTTAGTCTTAAATCGTGGGGACGGATATCACTTTAAATTTTAATAATTATGCCACTTTTATCAATTTACATTTATTGGCCATTTTTGCAGATAAACAATCAGCTGTTCTGCAGTTGCTTTGACACAATTTTTTGACAATTCAGCTAGGCGCACGCGTCGGATCAAACATCGGCCATCAAAAAAGGCGCTTTCATAACTACATTCAGCTTTGTTCGGGTTTGAAAAAAGGACGGTTCTAGAACGGTTCATTGTCATTTTGTTGATTGATAAACTATGCGATTGTTTTGAACCGTTCTAGAACTGTTCTTTTTTCAAACCCGAACAATCGCAAACTCCTTTATTATTGTTCATTCGTCGTCATATGTTTATTAAGATTATTATCTATCTTTTCTGTAAATCAATTTCCACTGTAGTAAACAATTAATTACGTGAAAAGACGGTCCAAAAAATGTTTTCCAGATTTGGTTTTAATGGGCGGTTACACACGGACGTGGATGTCTTAATACATATACGTGCATACATCAACGTGCAAACAACAACGTGCATGGCGCTTTTGTACAGACGCTCGCACAAAACTGCAGTCTTGCTATTCTTAGCCCGCTTTCCAGTATGGGAGTGTGACGCCCGGAGCTACTCGGGGCTTGAGCCCCCGAGCTGTTCGTACGCGTCAACCTATCAGCTGTCACATCTGTGGGTGGCTATTTATCTATTTATTTCTTGTTATATCTCAAGATTGAACATTTTAAAATATATAGTTTTGATTCTCTTTCATTTATGATAAATAAAAAAACAAACTGCACAAACAAACAGATAATTATTTTTAAAATTTGACATATTTGACACTAACACAGGCGTCTCACGCCATGATACTGGAACGGTACAAATCTAGTGCGTGGCGCCCCCGAGGTGCTCTGGAGCGCGCCAATGTGCATACTAGAAAGCGGCTACTACAGTATTCCGAGTGTGCATACAAAATTGCACATTCAAATACGCGACGGTATTTTGCATACACATTGATGTTTTTGTTTGCGCGCTCATGTATGTGCGTACATGTTTTCAGACATCCACGTCCGTGTGTAACCGCCTAATAGTAGTTGTATTCCGTTCACACCTAGGAGGAGCTCCGGGGCGTTACGCGCTTATTCCTTTTGAAAAGTGTTTGTTGCACCTGAGTGCTCAGGCCCGAATCAAACCATATGCACGAAAACCAGCGTATTCTGAGCGTATCTGTTCCTTTCAAAACGGAGTCGAGTAACACCGGATCGAGTAGCTCCAGGGTTTTGAGCTCTTGCAAGGAATACAGCTACTACCGTTACTGCGCAAAAGCAACAAACGAGGTATTTATTTTTTAAAAGTCAACCTTTTTCTGGCAGATTGCCTAGAAGCAAAGCCATAAGAAAGCAACAACAAAGAGGTCAACCTTCAATCAACCTAACCTCATTCTTTTGCTTGTTTTGGTTTTTTTTTTGTCTTGACTGGACGTTTTTGTTTTGTTCAATATTTTATTCAATTCGAATTACACCAAAACCATTTTCTAAGTGCTTTTCCAGTATTTAGTCTTATAGGTGTTTTCTACGGATAGAAAAATGGATCCAGCCTTGCTGAGAGAACGAGAACTCTTCAAAAAACGAGCTCTGGTAACCCCTACGTAAGTTCACTATGAAATCATTGATGATTTTTGCTAGATCTTGTCTCTTTTCTCTTTACTTTATACCTTGGCCTTGCTTATATTTTCTGTATTATTAAATTGTTGGTACAACATACAAAAATACTAGCTCTCTGAGGAGGCAAAAGCAAAAGCAAATACAATTATGTTTGTCAATGTTACCTCCGAGGTTACCTCTCTTTAGATTGACCAAGATTCTGAACCCTTACCCCAAAGCTCCTTTACCACTTTGCGAGCCATTTTGTTATGTAAATATTCCCTCCGATTCTCTAGTTCAAAATATAGAATAAAAATCATTTATGTTGCTGGAGATCTAAACGCGGGCGGATTCCACCATTCTATTACTTAATCTGCTCAAATCATTTAATCAATCTTGAAATGCATGTAAAAAAATCAACCAGAGTCACAAATTCAACTTCCACCATCATCAATTATGTATGTTCAATTCTTGATACAGACGTTAAGTGCGACATAAATGATCCTGCTCTTTCCGATCATAACGCAGCACTGCCAGCACTAGCAAATCTACCTTTATTTATTTTTATTGGTAACAGTTGGATATAGCCCCACCACACAAATATATTATTTTTAAGAAAAATTTGAAATAAATTAGTTATAATGGACCATATTAACGTCAATAAAAGTGGCGGAAAGAAATTATATTATAATTTTGTAGTTTTTTATGCTGCAAAGTATCCAATAATTAGGAATGGGATAAAGTTGGATAAGTATATTATTTTTAAGAGAAATTTGAAATAAATTAGTAATAACTAACTATCCAATAACCACTATCCAACAGTATTAAATATATCAAATCATAACAATAATAACCTGCCTTCAAGAGCTACTAAAAAAATCACTGCAGTCAACAAAAATAAGCTTCATGATCTTTTGAAGAGTGAATGTTGGAATGAAATTTTAAACACAAATGAACCCGAATTAGCTTATCAAAAATTTTTGAATAAATTTCAAAATTACTATTCTCTCTGCAAAACAGTCAAAATTCAAAAAATGTTTAGAAAAATAAAGCCATGGATAACTCAAGGTTTAATTGTATCAATTAGAAAGAGGGATAGGTTGAAAAAACAATTGCAAAGACATTCCACTGAAGAAAAGGCCATTGAGTATAAAACCTATCGCAATGCATTAAAAAAACCGATAGATAATACAAAAAATCAATACTATAAAACAAAAATTGAACAAAACAAGCATGACACAAAAAAAATCTATAAATTGATAGCCGAGGCAACGAATCAGGGGAAAAAATGCAGCGAAGCCTTAAATATAGTTGACAATGATAACAAAACTTTTGAAAATGATCTAGATATGTCCAATTTCTGTAACAGATATTTTTCTAGGATAGCAATTGAAATGAGCGACCAAATTCCTCACATTGTAGAACAGTCTAGGCTAGCCTCAACAAGCAAATCAATGTTTCTCTCACCAGTGTCTAAAAATGAACTCATTCCACATATCAATAGTCTAAAGTTTGATTTACTTTAATGCAGGTAGTACCTATGCACATTTTGATGAAATACATAGTTTAATAATTACTAAGAAACCTAATGTGGTATGTATATCAGAGACTCATCTAACTGAGAATATAGATGCGTCTGAGGTATTTGTTGAGGGTTACAGGTGTATGAGAGTAGATAGTGTTAGTAGGCATACAGGTGGGGTGCAGATTTATGTTGAGAATAGGATTAGAGTTATTAACATACAACAGCTGTCTCATAACAAAGATTATTGGATTTTGAGTTTGAAGATCGAAATTTACAATAAGTTATTTAGAGTTTCTTGCATCTATAGATCTCCAAGTTCGAGTAGTGCAGATTTTTTAGATTTTTTCGAGGGCTGGTATGAAGAATATATATGTGACGTTAAAACGCCAATAATTGTGGCAGGTGATTTTAATTTGAATTGGTTAATAAATGATACATATACAAATAGGTTAAGATTATATAGTAAAGAGGCAGGACTCAACCAGTTAGTTACAAAAGTGACTAGACCAGCGAATAGGGGATGTGAAGGTACGCTTATTGACCTGATTTTCTCAAATGTGATGACTATTAGTTATTGTAATGTTTTAAATACCCCTAGAATAAGTGACCATTATATTTTGACTGTTGGTATTGAAGTCTGGAGCAGAAAAAACCAAGAGCCCTTTTTTGTTGAAACTCGTGGGAGAAATATTGACTATAGGGGTGTGCAGAAAAAACTCTTGGGTGTTGACTGGGTGTATGGTAATATTGATGTAAATGTTAAGTGTGATATGTTCCTCAATAATTGTTTGGACGCTCTGAACGAAATTGCGCCCAAGAAGCAAGTAAAAATACTGGCTAAATATAAACCATGGTGGAATGAAAGAGTTGAGAATGCTGTAAAGGAGAGGGATGAATGGTACAAGAGGTATAAAGTTGACAATTTAGAGCTAACACGTGATATATATAAACAGAAAAGAAATAATGTTGTGAGGGTGATTAAGGATGAAAAAAGGAAATATTTTGAGGCAAAGGTTGATGGTTGTAAAAGTAACCCAAAGGAAATGTGGACGGTACTTCAACAAATTATCCCTTCAAAAAATAAAAACAGTATAGAATTTGTTGAATTTGAAAATGGTGAATGTGAGAATGATAGTAGAGTAATTTGTGAGAGACTAAATGAGTACTACGTTGAAAGCATAAGGAATATTTGTGAACAAATTCCAGATACAATTGAGTTAAACGCAGATTATGATGAACAGCATGACCTCATTTTATCAGATTTCAGCCTAATTACAAGGGAAGAATTGAAAAGCATAGTATTTTCTTTCAAAATCAAAAAAAGTCCAGATGATTTGGATATTGAATTATTGAGAAACATATATGTGGGAATTGAAGATCCCCTAATAAATCTAATAAATTACTCTTTAGAAATAGGTACTGTCCCTGATAGGTTGAAGCTGTCTACTGTGGTGCCAATTCAAAAGAAACCTAATGTGAATGTAGCATCCAATTTTCGACCATTAAATATGCTGGCGGCTGTGGAAAAAATTCTTGAAAGGGTGGTATATGTGCAATTAATTGATTTTGTGGAAAGTAATAATTTGATAACAGGTAACCAGTCCGGATTCAGAAAAAAGCACAGTTGTGAAACAGCCATACAATGTGTGATCGATGAGTGGAAAAATGGCTTAGACAACAACTATGGTATAGTTGCAGTTTTCTTGGATCTTCAAAGAGCATTTGAAACTATCGATAGACAGAGACTGGTTTTGAAATTGCATAAACTGGGATTGCGTGGAAGAGTATTGGAATGGATTGATAGTTACCTGGTGGATCGTAGGCAAGTAGTTAGGTTGGGTAGGGAGATATCAACTGAGAGAACTAATAACTATGGTGTACCTCAGGGCAGTATACTGGGGCCTTTATTGTTTGTTCTATATATCAATCATATCGTAAATGCGGTGCATCCTCCGGTTAATGTTCATCTGTTTGCAGATGACACTCTGGTATACTCTGTATCTAAGAATGTGAATGAATTGGTTGAAAGTACTAATAATGCTCTGGATAATCTGTACAATTATATGTGTGTGAATAAGTTGAAGATAAATGCATCAAAAACAAAATCTATGGTTGTCATACCAGAAAAAATGAGAAGGGCTTTTGGTAAAGACAAATTTGATATACGTATTGATAGGTATCCTATTGAGATTGTTAGAAAAATTAAGTATCTGGGAGTAATAATTGATGATCAGCTGACATTTGGGGAGCATGCCAATTCAATTATAAGCAAATTGAGCTACAATATTAGTCATCTAACAAGATGCAGTCCATATTTGAGTTTCTGGACTAAATTTGTTATACATAATACACTTGTACTACCACATATTAATTATTGTGCAAGTATTTTGTTTTTGTTGAACCAGAATACATTAGGAAGAATACAAAAAATGCAGAATCGTGCAATGAGGGTGATTTTGGGATGTAACAGATACACTTCAATCCGTTCTATGCAAGAACGTTTGCAATGGTTGCCTGTTTCTGAATATATTAAGTACAGTGTTATGGTTTTTATTTTTAAGATAAAGAATGGTCATGCCCCTCAATACTTAATGGATAAAATAATTTATAATAATGAAATCCATAACTACAGTACACGTCAGCAAAACGATTTTTTCATAGCACCAAAAAATAAAAAGTCTGGTCAAAATACGTTATTTTTTAGGGGAGTCGATCTATACAATAAATTGCCCGCTGTGATAAAAACATGTGATTCAATGTATAGTTTTAAGAAACAGCTGAAAGTTCATTTGCTGAGAGAAAATAATTTGTATGTACCTTGAGATGGTTAATTATTGTTCTGATTTGGATTGATTTTTGTTTTTTAAATTGTTAACTTTATTGTAAGGATGACTGGATTTGTAGTCTATAGTCTATGATTGTTAGTTTTAATAAGTAATGTGATTTTGATATTTTGTTTTAGATTTTAGAATAAGACGGAACCGGTATATTGTAACATAGAATTAGTATATTGTGCTAAATAAATGACTAAATAAAAAAAAAAATAAAGTCAAACAGTGCTCCAGGTTGTGACGCAATAACTGTAGAAACTATAAAAGAATTTCATAACTATTTACTGAAACCCCTTATGCATATATTCAATTTAATATACGAGACGGATGTTGTGCCCTCACCACTTAAAAAATCAATTATTACCCCTATATACAAATCTGGAAAACACAATATCATAAGTAATTATAGACCAATAAGTTTAATTAATAATTTTGCGAAACTCTTTGAAAAAACTTTAAAACTCAGACTAGTTAGCTTCATCAAACTAAATAATCTAATGTCAAAAAATCAATTTGGGTTTACAGAGGGTCTTAGCACCAATGATGCAATGTGTTGTCTGATAAGAGAAGCCACAAATATAATTAATGAGAACAAAAAATGCCTGGTGGTGTTCCTGGACCTCGCGAAGGCTTTCGACACAGTTTCCCA